GGGGTACGAAGCCCCATGCCTCTACTCTGTTGAACCTTTCACGCCATTTTTAATAGGTAGGGTTGTGTCCAAGCATGTTTTTTGACGTTAATGATGACCGAGGTACACTGACGTTACTTCCAAAGAACTGCTTACTACCCTCATTCACTGCCGAAAAGCAGGTGACCAATGACGTGCGGTTGTTATAAACACGACACTGCTTCATTTACATTTTTTTTTCATACATCGTAGAGCTCGTTTTCATTCGAGCTCGTCCAACAGGGGGCGGGGGTAGGGGCCTGTGGTGGAACTTGGTGCCTCCGTATGAAGGATCATGCGCATTCCAACGCCTACCGGGCAGTTTTTCGATCCACACAGCTGACGTCGTATCGACATTGATCAAATGCGAAAGTGGTAACCCTTGCAGAAGGGTTTCTTGAAGGGCCAGTTGGTAACCCTTCTTCTGGCTACCATATGAAGTGTGCTGACTTAATGACTTGGCATTCAGTGCGTCGATTCGCTATGACGGAACGAGCATTGAATAAAAGAAAGATAACTCACTCTGAGGCACGTGAAAGATGGCCAGTGTAATCCCCGTGAGCACGTCCGGAAGCAGATCATGCCTGACGTCGTATTCACGTATCCAGGACGCGATGGGAAAGCATCCCAGAAGTCTAGACTTGGCACCCCGCCGCTTCCACTTGCGTCCCAGCGCGTGTCGCAGTCGAGACACGAGCGGTCCCTTTGTAGTGGGCCTCTGCTGGGCGAATTCGGTGTCGAAACCGTCCTGGGTGAACCCGTGCCTACCCCGTGCCGCGGGGTATCCCGCCGAACTGCGAGCGGTCATGGAGCCGCCGCCGGAAGGGGGGCCCAGCGGCGAGATCGTAGTCCAAGGGATCCGGCGACGACGTGGCTGCTAGGTCGGAACGATGAGTACGGTCCATGCGTGGCGACGGCCGCAGAACGCGTCATCGTCTTTGGGGCCACGGAGGCTTGTGGTGGGTGGAGACCATTAGCGGTAAGGAACCATTCGTTCATTTTCTTCGTGTCGTTGAGAATTCGTTGCGACAGTCTCTGACGTTATCCACTCTCTGTCCCGTTTGTAGCCCCTCGCACACTCGCTCAATGGACCATTCAACGGGCCAATCTCGCACTTTACAGTGAAAAAGAAAAAAAAAAGGGGGGGGGAGGGGTATTGGGGAACATTTCAGCCGCACGACTGTAATAATCTGCCTCAAGCGTACTTTCTCTGCGTTATCATCTCGGGCTCAGCCATTTAAGATCGTGAATGTGAGGCGCGCCATCAGCGTGATATAGCAATATTGATAGGTAAGTGACGAGAGCCAGGTTTTCAGGAAAGCAAACGCGAGCAAGCCAGATGCCGATTACAGTTACCATCGCGTGACAGCATGTTCCCGGACTGAGTTGACGATGTATCGGTATTGTGACCTTGGATGCTTTTACAGCGTCCTCGTGCCCCGCGAGCCAGAGACCACCCCGTCAGTCGTTGAACAGACCGCGGCTTCATCTGTGAATAGTTACGGGAAGCGGAAGGTGTTAGCCTGCCATCGCGCCTTTTGCTTTCGATGTGAACATCACGGTGTTTCGACCGTCGACCCCGGGAATTGGCGGCTGGGAAGCCATAACCGAGTTAAGGAATTGCCGTCGAGGTGGGAGCCGGCGAAACATGATGATGATGATTTGTGGTGTTTTATGACGCAAGGGCCATTTGATGGCCAAAGAGTGCCAGGTCATAGGACAGGAGATGGGTACAATGAATATGTTGAGCAGCTGTATAAGGACCTTAAAACTCCTTGCGATAGGGCGGGTAAAACATAGAAGTGATAAAATATGGCAATGACGTGAAATGTGCGATGAGATTGAGTGGCGAAAGGTTCTGTTAATAAAAGCGTGATGGAGATAATTTGTGCTAGCACACGTGCCTCACCAGCGCCCTTGTGCCTAAGGGCCATGAGGCAGATGCTATTTTGATGTTCCGATGCAGCAGCAACCTTTACTCCGAGGGGTCGTTCTACTGGGATGCCTGGAAGTATGACGTTAAAACAATTGATATCCTTGAAAAACGCGAACAGTGATTGCTAACTAAGAAGCGGTTCCCTACCTATAAACATGGAAGGACGCAAGGGCATTTGATGGCATAAGGGAAAGGGGAAGTGTTCTTTTCTAAAGGTGTCTAACTCTTTGCACTTTACTAAAATATAAAACCGCTGGTATCCTGACACTGTGGGCCCTTCGTTTTGCGTCGCGTAATAAAATAAGACTCTTAAGTAACCTTCACTGAGTCAGAAGTCTGATACATACGCAGCGGTATGTGGCAGAAAGACTCCCCAAATACTCAATTTTTTCCCCTGAAGTGTCACGTGTACGCAAAGAGTATGGAAGTAGAGCGTCCTTCGGTTCCGCAACAACAATCGTCTTCGGACCTGTTTTCGTTTACTTTCTTGAAAATCTACATTTTCCTATCATGAGTACTGTGTCACGTTCATAACGCACGCCGTTCGTTATCGGTAAGAGTCGCGTGCCTGGTGATAATGCAAGGAAGGACAAGTGCGCTAGATGTTCATGTTTTAAATGTAAAACAAAAGAAAAACAAAACATGGTGGGCTAAAGCAAATGCCATAGCAGTTGGTATAACACAAAAATGAAACATGTCTTCACAAATTTTTTGAGCGTTTCTTGCACATTGTATCGCGACAAGGACGAAGGAATGAATGCTAGAGCAACAAATTGCAATTGCAAGGGAAGAACGGCAAGTAGCTCGAAACTTGCGGCGCACTGCTTAAAGGCCAACTACGGCAATTTTTTTACCATGTCAGGGTTATGGTGCTTTATGTTTCTAAAACACCATTGTCACGAGCCCAATAGCTGAAATGCTCAGGAAATTCGAAAATACTTTTTTATTAAGAAAAAATGGGCAACACCGAAACCGAAACCCAACTGAGCACCCTGTCTGCGTATGACGTACTATTTGGTAGAGCCGGAGGCCGTATACTGGTTCCACCGGCGCGGGGTAGGAAAACTGTGAAAGCCAGTCAGGCGAAGCACCGGTCAAACATCACAGAGGAAGGAAGAAAGCATTTCCGTGCTATATCCGTGCCAAACACCACCGCCGTCGCCTTGTTGCCAGCACAATAAACGCTGTAGCGGCCAAAGTAGTGATGCCTTCGGCTGCGTCAATTCCGTTGACATGCCAAACATGACGTCTCACAAACAGTGCTGCCAATAATTTTGGCAAGTGAGGCGAGCTTGTCGCGGCAATCTTTAAAACTCATTTGCAAATGATAAGCGCATCACTAAAGCCTGTGATTTGGCATGAAAGACTGAAATGTGCAAAGGAACATACCCAGCGAATTTCATTAGCATTATTTGACCTCGAAAAATCACCAGAAGTTGTTTTTAGGGAGAATTGACGCACGATATGAACATACACAGTACGAGCGCGAACTTGCTGTCACAATTGTTACTTTGTGCGGGAGCAGTTTGCTCCTTTCGCAAACGTGGCCGCTGCAGCGAGCGAAGTGACTTTCGTGCTCTCTGTAACTTCTATGCTAGCGTGCGCTGAAAACACGAGACGTACGAACCGTCCCCATCACGAGATAAGCTTGTCCGGTACGAGTGTACATGTCCTTTAGAGGTGCCGGCCGAAGAACTTCAAAGTGCGCCCTTCCCGCTCTTTGTGCCATATCGCTAGAAACAAGAAGGACACGCTGAAGCCACTGAGCTCCGAGTGCCGCGAAAAGTAAATGGTGCACATAAATAGCTAGTCGTTAAGCTGAAGAGCACACGCTTCGTGAAGGCCAGTTCGGCTTGCGCTGCGCGCTGCTGAGCGAGAGGTCATAGGTAAAACTCCAGGTTAACAAACCACTTCTTCTGTAGTTTTCCCTTCTTCATTTGTAATTGTATGTGTTCACACAGCATGTCTGAGACGGAAATACGCCAGTGAAACAGCAATGAATGCCTGCATAAAACACTCGTGTTCAAAAAAAAAAAAACCTTCTTGCTCACCTTTGTCAGAGTGCGGGTGATGAGTGTGATCATTCCGTTGAACATGGTCATTTCCTTCTCTGACTGGCCATGGTGGTTCAGTAGCTGTGGTGCTGGAATGCTGAACGACATGCCGCGGGAGCGAATCCCGGCCGCTGCGGCCCCACTTTTGATGGAGGTGCTCGAGGCTCGTGTACTTAAACTTTGGCGCACGTTAACAAACCCCACGTGGTCGAAATTTCTCGGGGAGACGGCTTCTCTCCCAATCATATCTTTCTTTTGGGACGTTAAACCCTAACAAATAATCATGCACCGAAATCGGGCATCTAGTGACCGCAATCCTTCACACAAAGTGTTATCTACCCAACACCAGGCACACCATTCGAAGCCCGTCACCATAGCTTTGATTGTGGTATAAAAGTAGTAGTATGACGCTCATACCGCACATAGGCGTTTTGCGTAGAAGCAAGAAACAAACATTGTTGTACATGCACGACAACATACAAAATGAATATACCAGTGAAGGACAAGAAGACCCGTTTCCGGCGTACCGCTGCTGTCGAGTGTAGATGGTGCGCCACTAGGTGATGTGGATAAGCAGTTTGTCACGTGCTTGTGGGTCCAGTAAACCTTTGTAGTAGACTGTGCAAATAGACTTCAAGTGTGGCCGTGACGAACTTGCCGCGATTTGGGCCAGCAAGGCACACGACCGTTGTTCAAAGATCCTGCTTTCCAGAAATGGTTCCCAGCTAATCCGTTGACTGTTTTTCGATGCCGTAAACTTTTTTTATTGAGTAAATGCTGTACAACGGTGATAAGAGAACAGTGAACATTTATAAACCAGGCACCTCAACACTCGACTTTCACACTTTTGTTCATTTTCCTGTGTTCTCGTATAGCACTTCGCGGAATACCCCAATTGTCATGCCTGTATACTGTCAGTTTAGCACAGTGTATGACACTTGCGTACACTTGAGGTGAGTAAAACAATAAGTGTGTTAAAGAGACACCTTTCATACTGGATCGAATAACACTCGCAGCTGTTTTATTATTCAAAGTGTTGTTATATAATAATTTATTCAACCACTTGACCGGTACATATTATTACGATATATACGTTGTTTTCTGTGAAGCGAAAAAAAAAAGAACTCCACATAACAGCTGACTAGCCCCTTCACCAGGAAGATAACAAAACTTCACGCAGAAAAAGGCGGAAATGTCAAAATAGAAAGCGCATATGTGACTCTTGACTACAAACAATAAAATAAAACAGAATAACATACAAAAACTTGCATAAGAGTTTAATAATAAATAAATGACAATTATCAGTAACGAAAATTGTCCAACATTCACGAAGAGTGAAATCAGCATATTCGATCTCTTGTTACAATGTGTAAGTAGAAGTGCTCCGTACCTGTGTACTTCTCTTTGTACATAAGCGTTATCACTTTAATAACTACCATGTGCGGCTCAGTGGCCAGAAAACTCACACGAGACCTTCTGCACTGCAGTGTATCGTAGAGTGTCGTAGTGACGTGGAGCACCACATCTGTTGTAGTCGTAAAAGAATCCCCACAGTGTCTTTTGTGCATCTTCGTCACTCCACGCAATGGCGAAGGCCTTCTTGATTTCTTGTTTTTTTTTGTCTTTTCAAATGCAGGTTAAGGTATTGAACTTCCCGCGCGACCATCCTAAAGCTTTCTGCACTTACCAGAATATTTTCGCTGCCTGCAAGGTAGCACAAATTACTAAGCTTTCTACGCCTGAATTTGTTATGCACTACCTCCGGCACTGTACCCACTTTTGACCAAGCAGTTATGTAATGCGATCGCATCACCAAGTGACGTCACATTATATGAAGTCAGATGACGTAACGAATTTTGGCTATCGGATACTTCATGACGACCTGATATGGTGACATCGTCCTACGATGATGTCTTATCACTGCTTTTTACGTCGCCGACGTGGACGCTGCTCAATTTTCAAGTTTGATGAGGCACTTCTAAAGCTTTCGTCTTTAAGCCCACAGCCACGCACCTTCTCTTGCACAGGACTGTATACCGTACCGATTACCATAACGACTGTGGGCACCGCAGCCGGGTCATCACGTATGGAAAAACAAAATTTAGGCTCAACAAAGCAAGATGATGAGTTTACGAATACCGAGGATCAGGTAATCTACCGCTTCATCGGGTAATATCCTAAGAAGGCACAGCGACGCGTACTCGAGGGGACCAGTGGCCGGGTAGCAGGTCTTCGGGTCCGTCTCTCTGACGGCCGAGATCATCTGATCCACGACCTCCTGCGGGTTCTCACGCATGGAGTACGAGTAGTAGGTCGACGCTGACTTCAGCCAGTTCATCACTTCAGCCTCAGTGTAGTCGGCTACGACTTCGGGCGCCTGCTTTTTCAAGTCTCGCTGGATGGCCTGGAGGGAACCGACGTTGTCGTTGATGGCAGTCCTATGCGACATGCAAAGCAATGTCGGTGTCAGGTGAAAGATCGAAAGGAGAGTATACAATTAGTGGGGCAGTGAGCGATAACAAAAAACAAGGCAGTAGCACTAAGGACTTGACCAATTTGACTACTGAACTTGGCACATGGTTCTTGATGACTGCGGGTCCCATGCTTTTATTTTCATCTTTCGTACCGCTGTCCTACAAATACTTTTTCTCATCTGGAGATTAAAAGGCTGCTTCAGTTGAGAAACTATCTCAAAGAACGATGTCACTAATAGACCAGTAATATGTCAGTCAACCTCAGTTGTCCAAGACTTAAAATTGCAGTATCATTTAAAGCTAATATGAAATGCGGGCTAACCGATTTGACACTATTCTCAAAAGCAAACAAATAAACTAAACGACATTATTTTGCATTCCGTGTAACTTGATGATGCACGTTTGTGCCTCGAGTTTCTCAAAAAAAACTTGAACGCTTTGGTAAATTTTGTCGGAGATTCTGGCCCCACTGCTGAGCAAAAGATTATGTTTTAAGTAGTAACGACAAACCTTTAACTCATAATGGGCATAGTACGGACCAATGACGAATAGTTGTATTTACCGAAATTTCAGAACACAAACCCGTTCGTGATGGACCATGATGAGGACATGACACGCCTACCTTGAGGTGATTCGCTCCCAATAATCTTGCTCGACAAGATCTCTGTACGGACTTTCTTAAAAGTTGAGCATTATTTCCCACGTGCATATATACATATGAAACCCTTGCGAGTAGGCTGATGAGACATATTTCCAGTGTTTCAAAACACAATCAAAGGATGCAAGGAATGCCGCTATAAAGTTCACGTACTTGAACAAGGTTGGCTCGATGGCAATGACGTCGACTCCTTTGCCGTACATCTCTCTTCTGAGACCATCGACAAGCGACAGGGATGCGTATTTGCTCATGCAGTACGCAGTTGCCAGTGGGAACGTATACGATGCTGAAAAACATAGGATTTGTCGTGGTTACTCCCATAGCACTCTCACAAGTCTCAGTGAATGAAAGAATGGAGAGGAAACCATGGATGGCTCGATTGTTTTCATGTTCGACGTAACCTAACAAAAGCCAGCTGATAGTGAAGTCAAGGAAGGTATCGAAGACGTTAATTCGGTTTTAAAAAGTATTTTAACATTTGTGATAGAGCTTTGAGGAAAACAAAGTGATAGAAAAGTGAAATTGCCGCTGGCGGGAACCGAACCTGCGACCTTCGCAAGACGTGCCCGATGCTCTTACCAACCGAGCTGCAGGGGCAGTCATCCCAGCGTCCACTTTGAGGAGGTATTTAGGCGCATGCATACGTTGGGAGTGTATGCATGCAGTCAGTGTCTTTCTAGGGCATATAATGACATGGGCATCCTAGGTATTACAATCAGATGACATCATTATTTACCAGAATTACAGAAAATAGGCTAAATTCTAGGAAAGACACCAGCTTCACGAGAGGCACTTGTGGATGCGGGGTTTTATTGAGAGCGACGACTCTACAAGACGACTTGTCTCCTTCAACACGCTGCAAGCTTGCAAGGTCGCAACGTTTTCTAACAAGGCTACTACTCGAAACGTTACCCTATGATACGCCGAGTTCACAATTTCGTCATTGTAACAGGATAATAAAGTTGCTTTTTTTTTCGGGTGACTGCCGTAACGCTGTTATGAAGTGCTTCAACGCGAAGTGTTTAATAGACTGCCAAATAAAAAAATAAAGTGGATATCTTCATGCTTTAGCGGCTTTTGATGGCTAGCTGCACGAGCTAATACCCTCTTCTATGTACTTTGTTTTTATTTCATGCCTCTTTTAGTCTGTATTGCAACCATTCGCATTGGAGCACTGCCTTAGGATGCGTATCAAGCGGACAACTTTGAGGAGGTCAGCACTCACCGTATACACTAGTGACGATGACCACTCGTCCTTTGCTTCTCTTCAACAGTGGCAGGAACTTTTTGGCGACGCGAACGACTCCGAAAACGTTCACATCAAACACTCGGACGATGCTCTCCATGGTCATCCATTCAATAAGGCCGCTGTTAGGGATGCCAGCGTTGGCTACCACGGCCCAGAGAACTGCACACATGGATTTGAAAGTGCTTCGAGTCAATGTCTAGAACGTGACAAAGCGTCAACGTCATCAAAAGGATAGGCACACGCGGCAAATGAGGAGGCGAGAACAAGAAGCCGTGTAGCTATTTAGTGCGGTATGTCGGTCAACATCCATGCCGTCTATTTCCCTTCTGTTTCTTACTTCTTTTCTTCCAGTATATCAGCCGTCATTCCGTATATCAGCCGTCAGGCTTAGAATAGGGCATACACACTCTACACATTCATATCTTCTATCTACCGGCAATCCACCATATTGTGAGAGAGTGGTTCTCCACATCTTCGTCCAGTGCAACGAGCTAGATGCTCTAAGAAAAAGGCATTTTTTACTGCCCTATACCGACAGCAGCTCCCACTACACCCTGCGATGCTCATCGGTAGGGATCCGCTTTTTAAACTGCAAACACTTTTTACGTTTTTAAAAGATGTTCATAGCTTTAACCTCATATTTCGAGGTCATCCTTAGCACGACCTCTGTACCGTGGTCGTGGCTGCGGTGACTACATCTCCATCATGGTTTTATTATCATGACGTTTTGCCAGCTACTTTCACTACACATATCTCACGCCACTTTTATGATTTTATTACTTCCATGTTTTAACCTGTGTTAGCGCGAGGAATTCTAAGACCCCTTTACAGCCACTCATCATATCATTGTTCATATCTCTACTCTATTGAAACGGCGCTTTTTGACCATCAATTGGAGCTTGTGCCATTAAAAACCACTCATCATCATCATACGCCTGATTCTCTTCCAAGCGTATTATGCCGAGCGTTTCGGGCTATAAGAATAATCATAGAAAGTCCTTTGGGAAAGTGAATCAAATCAGTGGTTGCGGTTGATTCTTAGATATATATGTCATACCTGAGATGCGAGAGAATAGCGTTTTCATGATACTCGCCAAATAACTCTCGAAATTACTGAAGAAAAATGACTGAGTTTACCGAAAGAAAAAAGAATAAGTTTGGCGTGTCTCTTTTAGTAAAGCCGTTCAAGAGTACATCACTGCGACTAAACGATTTTCTTGCTAAATTGCTGTCTTGCTATTTTTCTTCCTTTTTTTTCTGCAAACTTGATATTGGTATTTTAAATCAAAATTAAGTTACAAAAAAATTTGTAGGAATGACGCAATGCTGAAAGTTTAGGGCAAATTCACCTTATAATCGGCCAATCCCCTTCTTTGGGTACGAGCCATTTGCACAGGAAAACAACAACAACAACAACAACAACAACAACAACAACAACAACAACAACAACAACAACAACAACAACAACAACAACAAAAGGCGAAAGCAGCACATTAATTATAGTAGTCAGACTAAATAAAGAACGTGACGTTCTTACAGGAGAGAATCATGAATATTTGCCAATGTGTGATTATTCAAACAGAGAAAGAGTAAAGATAAAGGAAAGACAGGGCTGAACCTTGTAGGCTACCCCGCGCTGGGGAAAAAAAGTTTGAGAAGACGAGAGGGGCACTGTTGCTGTTGATGTTAGAGCAGTTACGCGATTGACGTCAGACACGCCGAGTCAATCCCGTGGCTTATGTTAAAGCGCCATTGTAGAAGGTGCGTGGTGTTCACTAAAATGCGTTATCGAATCTAATGCATCTGTCATCGTTTCCACGCAGGCGGCTCTCTACCTCTCGATCCAAGGTCACGCTTGACCGCTTCAAGGGCCTCGTCTACTTGGCTGTCCTTGGTGACGTCCAGCTGCAGAACTCGGACGTTTCGACACTTCTTGAGCACCATGGCCCCTTCGCTGTTGGAGTCGAGGCAGCCGGCGAAAACCAGGAAACCCTGCTGCGAAAGATTCCGGGCAAGCATGTTGCCGAACCCCGTGTCGCAACCTGCGAGGCGAGAGGACCGCGTGTTCCACAGAGGTGTCATGATTTGATTTGATTGAATTTGTGGGGTTTAACGTCCCAAAACCACCATATGATTATGAGAGACGCCGTAGCAGAGGGCTCCGGAAATTTCGACCACCTGGGGTTCTTTAACGTGCACCCAAATATGAGCACACGAGCCTGCAACATTTCTGCCTCCATCGGAAATGCAGCCGCCGCAGCCGGGATCTGAACCCGCGACCTGCGGGTCAGCAGCCAAGTACCTTAGCCACTAGACCACCACGGCGGGGGCACAGAGGTGTCAAGACAACTGGGAGAACAACATGGCACACGTAGTACTATGAAGTGTAAAAAAATAATAAAGCCATCAAACTTTTTTGTGGGTGCTAACTCCAGGTATAAGACTCTCTTTAAGCCCTACTGCAGTGGTCTAGCGGCTAAGGTACTCGGCTGCTGACCCGCAGGTCGCGCGATCAAATCCCGGCTGCGGCGGCTGCATTTTCGATGGAGGCCGAAATGTTCCAGGCTCGTGTGCTCAGATTTGGGTGCACGTTAAAGAACCCCAGGTGGTCGAAATTTTCGGAGCCCTCCACTACAGCGTCTCTTATAATAATAGGGTGGTTTTGGGTCGTTAAAGCCCACATATCAGTCAAGACTCTCTTTGAAGAGTGTCGTGGACAGTCTTCATCATTGCACTTTAAGTGTCACAAAACTCACAAGCAGTGTGCGAAAACGTAAAACCGAGAACAAAAAAAAAACTTGATTTTCGACCGGAGTGACAACGTAACCAAACCGTTATCTACCATGTCGTTTCAGATTTTTTTTCAGTTACCTTGCAATTAAAAAAAAACATGGTCATTCATAACTACCAATGTCATGCAATGAGAGTAATGATGCATATCTCAGAATGCACTACCTTTACACTCATTTTTCAGGCCTAGATTTCTAAGTAAAGATACGATGAAGTTGTGCAAAAAACAAGAACTGTGCCGAGCAGAGATGTTTGTATTAACGCAAGTGAAGTTACGTGCGTCTGTCACGCTTGTCAGCGTGACGAGGGTATTCTCGGGCGCTGGTTTATCATAACAGTCGTCTAGCACATCAGAGAAACTATGTGTTGCTTCTGAAACACTGCTCTCTCCTTTGACACAAAGCACCGAACCTGCTTAAAAACGTTTCTTCAGAAGTCAGCGACGAATGCACCTGTTCGCGTCCAATCGCGATCAGCCCGAAAATTGTAGAAGGTGCTGAAATTAGCCAAGCTAGAACGAACAAGTTTTTGTTATCACAGCTAAATGACGAGCGCAAGGCTAGATTGCCGTTGACTTCGACCGAATTGGCACTGTATCTCCCCCCCCCCCCCCCCCCCCTCTGTGAGGCGCACTTTTCGATCGCATCGCTTTACCCGTTCAAGAAACGGCAGTGAGCGTCCTCGACCTCGTTTCGCACACGGTCATTCCTTGCCCGATGTGAACAGTGCCCTCATCCGCCAGCCCTTTCCCATTAGGAAGAGTCCTTGGCCAGTATAAACATTGAGCGTAGATCTGATCGTGGCTTTGGTACGTGCGTTTACCTTGCACAGCTCTCAACAAAAAACCTTGGTAATGCCTTTTTGACGCCTGTGCGCGTTACACGATCAACATATAACTCCGTATGAGCGTAACAGCGCAGCTAGATTTACTTGCTCGATTTATGGTTTTTTTTTTCAGAACCACGTAACTCGACTAAAACACGAGCTAAACTTTTTTTTTTCACTTTGTAATCTATGCTCTACGATAATCTTGTTCGGTTATTCCCGAGATTTTATCATTCACGGCCGGGCAACGTAGTGGCCACGCCAACCCGTCGCAGTGCCCGCAACGCAATTAAGCTACTCTCCAGTCGTTTATCCTCGGGGTATTCACACTTAAACTGAATATGACCTTAATCGTGCAAGACTGGAGCGACTTGCCAAATGATGTGCCTATTGCTCAGGCCTTATTCCATTTCTGAATAATTTATAGTTTTTAGCAATATTTGTGTTTATTACCTGATAAAATAATATACTCGGGGCTCATCGAGGGACCAATAAATCAAACAATAGCATGTAAGCCGATGTACCGCCATACAGAATCTCTAGAATAAGCATTTAATATCTTCTCTCACACTCTTTGCTTCTTTCCAGCTCTCTTTCAGGTCCCGCACCACAGCCTGTCACTGATGATGATGATGACGATTAGTGAAGTTTTGTGGCGCAAGGGCCATGGGTGGCCAACATGCGCCATGTCTTTGATGGGATGTAAGCAATGACCAGGGATCGTGATAGCAGGCTGTAATACGGCTGCAAAAAACCACAGCCTGCCACTGAACTAAGCACGACAAATTCTCCTACCAGCAGCAGCGGTTGTATTCCTATGGCCTTTTGCTGCCAAGGTTGAGGTCATTGGTCTAAATTGTGACCGTTACTACAATCCTGCATTACATAAACGATTTCTTGCAATGCTCACACACCTTCAACATTAGGCACGTTAATGTTGTTAGGTGAACTTTCACTCGTTTACTAACTACAGCCAGTGTTCCGGTTTGAAACGACGACCATCACAGGTCAACGCATCCCGCGCAGCATGCACTGTATTCCATTTGTCTTTATTTCGAGCCACCTAGCTTGTCCACATTCAGCTATGAAATAATAAACAAAAACTGTGTTTATTGATCACAACATGAACTCAAGTACACCACTGTTCTGAAGAACAACGTATACTGCACGGCATATTCCTTGAGGAATAGCTTCACAATAAAAAATAGCATCACAATAATAAATCAAAATAAAGAATAGCATCACAATAAAACAAGCACTGTTCTGTAGCCATGCAAATGCTATCACTAACAGCAACACATAGGATACTTATTATTCGATGACAGTGACATCTATATAGCGATACTTAAAACCTTCGTGACAAGACGGCAGAATGGGAGGTACTTTCAAACGTGGTCCAGTTGCGAAGCACCGAAAGCGCCGTTCTTTGTCAAATGACGCTGCATTCATTGATTCACGAGGAACCGTGGGTGAAGGGCTCGTGCTTCACTGCATTGCTTCGTTGCCTGTATACGTTGGAGTAGACAAAATTCGCCTTTCTTCAAGAATATTATGCCGTCCAACTGCCCATCACGTGATGTCCCTAAAAGGAAAGCGTTTTTCCGGAACATTAAATGCATCAAATTATCATTAGCATAGCCACGCGTGATACTGCCAGTGTCAAATGAAACCAGAACAGCGGAAAGCATTAATAATGGTATAGTGAGCTGTATTTCAACATGTAAACGATCTGTTTTACGATTAAACCGTCCTTCAAATCTGTATGTTGCTCCACATCGTTGCCCACCCGATTGTGATTGATTCATTGATATGTAGGTTTTTACATCCCAAAACCACCATATGATTATGAGAAACGCGGTAGACCACCTGGGGTCCTTAACCGTGCATCCAAATCTGAGCACACATTATCCGATTGTGTGAATACTACCCATCTGAACAATACGCTGTTCGTCAGTGTGCGCTCTGTTTTATCCGAGATGTCTTGCGTACAAAACAATGAATTTTCCCCTAAAAAAAAACACCCAAAGCAATTGTGCCCTTGGTCAGCGTTATCAGGGTTCTTCCTATATACGTACACTCAGTTACATCATCTTACTCGTGCTTTTAGAGAAATAAAAAAAAACGTTCGTGGAACCAAGCCTCCTTCGTGCCTATCGGTGGTCAGGGGTAGCGGATTCCCTGGCTGTCCCAGTACGCATGTTAGAAATGTTATTTTGGAGTGAAGCAGCTTAGGGTCGCACAATGTGCGGCCGTTCTCGTGGAGCCTCGCCTCATCGTGGTCTCTCGTCGCATCACAGGTGCGAAACCTCTGGGCGCAATACCGTCTATTCGGCTTACAGTGTGCGCATGAATTTAAATAGTATAAAGGGCCACAACACAGTAGAAGCAGTTATAATCAGGCACCTCTGAGTGAAAGCATACGACATAACAAAGCGTTACCAAGAACAAAACAAGAGCCTATTAACCAGAGCAAAATAGACGGCCACGGTTCGTAATCCAACGCACACATGTTAGCCCAGCACCATTCACTTCCTGTATCAATCAGAAATTTTCAGCACATTTTTAACGCTCCACCAATGATTCTCATGTAACACGGGACGGCTTTAAGCTCTCCCATAGTAGAGTACCCTGTGCTCTAAATCGTTATCCCATTTTTCTACCCCCCCATCCCCCTCCCCATTTTCGGGGACGGCTTTAAGCTCTCCCATAGTAGAGTACCGAGTACTCTAAATCGTTACCCACTTTTTTCTAAACACACAAATGGGAGTAGAGTACCTAGTATTGTAAAACGTTAACCACTTTTTTCTTAACCCAAAACTGGACGGCTTTACGCTCTTCCATAGTAGAGCACCTCAAACTTTAAATCGTTAACAACTTTTTCTAAACACACCAAGGCACGGCTCAGTGCTCTCCCATAGTTGAGTACGAAGTACTCGAAATCGTTAAACATATCTCCTAAAAACGCAGGTTATCGTCACAAAACAGTAGTGTTCTTGTAAGGCCAGCGGGATGGCTTTCTGCTCTCCCATAGTAGAGTACATCATACTCTATATCTTGAACTCCCCCCCCCCCCACACACACACACACAAACACACACACACACACGTCTTCTTTCGCAGTATGTATTGGGAAGCTACGTAGATTGTGTGAAGCACACGGTATGGCTTTCTGCTCTCCCATGGTAAACAAGTACTCTAAATCGTTAACTACTTTTTCTAAACACACAGGATGACGTCTGTTTTGTCATGATCGTTATTGTATGTCTAAGAAGAAAATGTCCGGTTGAGTGTTATTGACGTTTGTGACAATACATTTTTCTAAACAGGATGCACCTCATCAACCGTGAGGCCCACGGGACAGTATTGTGCTCGCCCATAGTAGAGTACCTCCTGCTCTAAACTGTTAACTTTTTTTCTAAACAGAGCACCGTTTTCACTCACCGGTGATAAGAACAGCCTTGCCATCGCCGTCAACGAGCTTGACGAACAGCTGACGCCAGAGGAAACGAGCCAGGCAGTGCGCGGCACACAGCAAAATCAGCGCAGTGCCCAACCACTGGGCAAGCACGGGCACAAATGGCAGCCGAGACCACACGTAGTGAAGCGCGAACAAGAGGACCGCGAACAGGACCCACGAAGTTCTCATCTTGACTCGGTGAATGGAACCTTTGACAATGAATGGAACCTTCGAGAACCTCCGCAGCGAAGTACCGTTCAGTTTGGAACACTTTCTGTGGACGTCCACGCTAGCTGATCGAAGCCGGTGGAAGGGGAAAAATTACTCCGCCGGTCGAGCTCTCAATTGCCCGTAGGCGCGCGCACACTCCTCGAACACGTGCTGCGTTAGACACGTCCAGCCGTTACGGAACTGGCTTCAGAGAAGTTCGCGAGGGAACGCAACTCTCCTTGGAGAGGAGGCAGAGCTTGCGGAGGCCACCGTAGCCGCCGGCCTTTCGTCACTTTTATCTCTCGCCGACAGCGGGCCGTTGTTCTCGGCCTTTCTGCTCGTGTTTGTCGTGGTTTTCCGGATCAACTTCTGGATTAATCCACACTTTGTGGATTACCTAGCGTGTTTATGTGCTCGTGTTTGTCTTTGCATTTGTATTGTAAGTGTGCGTGCGAATATATGCATTTTAAGTACGTGTACGTGCGTGCGTGCCTGCGCATAATTCTTATCTATCATCTCCAGTTCGAGGTACAGAAACTTCCAGCTTATTCTACCGAGGTGCGTGCCTCCTGTAATGCCGCTAATTCGTTTTGTTCTTATTCTGATCATAAAAGCTTGTTTTCTGTCGAGTCTCCGCAGGAGCAGCGCCTCTCAAGCTGTTCATCCATGCGCGAACTCAGCTCGCTACTGTCATCCTTTAATGCTGTGTGAGACAAACATTGTCAGACGGTAATCGCCAATACCGCTTCTTTTTCATTGTCTTTCAGGGGCACTGATGAGTATTCGCGTCAATTGCAATGTTCTATGCAGCCGCGTACTCGTTATTGTTCGATATCCGGCTTCCGATGTGGCCATACGCCCCCTCTTACGCTGTTGCTTCGAAAAGTACTGACACAACATTTTTGGGTTCTGATTTCAATGCGAAAGCCTTGAATGCCCGATCAAACGCAAAAGAGGCCTCCAGTGTCGTCCGCTGCGGTGGGGAAGTGGCTAGAAGGTGCTCGGCGGATGAGCCGAAGGGCACCGGTTTAATCTCAGCCATGGCGGTCACTTTTCGATGGAGGCAAAATAGTATAAGCCCACGTACTCTGCGATATCAGTGCTCATCAAAGAACACCAGATGGTCCAAAGTTTCGGAGCCTGCCACTTCACCTCCCTATATCATATTGCAGTTTTGGGACGTCAAACCAGAATGAATAATATTATACAGTCGGCGTCCCGCGGTGTCCTGACGAGGGATGAAAAAAATTAATCTTGACGTGATCGCGTCACCATTTGACCGCACGATGTGACCACTCATTTCCCAAATTAGTGACATAAATGAGACGTCACGTGACGTCATGCCACCATATTATGATGATGATGTTTGATGTTTTATGGCGCAAGGGCCATTTCACGGCCAAAGAGCGCCAGTTCATCTTACTAGAATTATGGACAATGATTGTGATAAGCGGCTGTATAAGGGCCATAAAATTCCTCGCAGTAAGGCGGGTAAAAACATACAAGTAATAAAATCATGACCATGCGGTGAAAGGTGTGTGTGATGTGAATAGATGACAAAAGTTGGTGATAATAAAAGACGATGGTGCATATGTATGGCATTAGCACAAGTGCCTCACTCGTTCATACCCTTGCGTCCAAGGGCCGTGAGGCATGTGCTTTCTTGTGTAGCCACCGCAGCAAAAACCTCTCTGGAGAGGTCATGCTACGGTATGCCCGGGTATATGACATGAAAGCTATGAATTTCTTTTAAAAACGCTAACAATGATTTATAACTAAAAAGCGGTTCCCTACCGACAAACATTGCAGGGTGTAAAGGTATATGTTGTCGGTAGGGTAATGGAAAGTGTTGTTTTCTTACAGTGTCCAATTGTTTGCACTCAATTAAAATGTGAAGGACTGTCAATGCTTCACCACATCTGTCACACAATGGTGGATCGCCACCGGACAAAAGGTGTGTGTGTGTCGTGTATGTGTGTCCTATACTGAGTCTCGTTAGTATCACCTCTGTATAACGCGATTTCGATACGGGCGGCCAATGACCAAGGTGTGGCTTAATAACGTGTAGTTTGTTTTGTGTGTGTGTATCCCACTTGCTCTGCCAGTATACTCTGAGGTTTCGTTTGAGGGATGGTTTAAGATCGAGGGCCGGGATTAATATGGGTGTAGGGGCAGTGCTTTTGTGCACGGATGCAGCGAGCTGATCCGCCCTCACGTTGCCTTGAATCTCACGGTGCCCTGGCACCCAGCACACTACAACATGTTGTTTGAGTGCGTAAAGTGTGCATAAAATAGAGTAAAGTGAGACAAGGACTGGGTTTTTTTTGTTTTTTAAGACTGTGCAGAGCCGTTACCACACTTATGGAGTCTGTATAAATTACTGCTTTTTGTATTTGTAATTGTTTGATGTGTTTAGCTGCCACAAGTATCGCGTACGCTTCCGCTGTGAAGATACTTGTGCGTGGATGTAGTGGACCAGCATCCGAAAAGGATGGGCCTACAGCAGCGTAGGACACAGAGGAGTTAGTCTTGGAGGCATCTGTGAAGAACTCAGGACATGTGTATTTGTGTTGAAGTTCCAAAAAGTATGTTCGGATATGGGCAACAGGTGCATGTTTTGTAACTTCTAGGAAAGACACATCGCAGTCTATAGTCTGCCATTGCCACGGTGGCGGATATGCTACAGGAGCCATTAAACTGTGTTCAAGTGAGATTCCAGTTTCCTCAGCTAGACTCTTCAGGCGTACTGAGAAGGGCTGCCTCATTGAAGGCCTGTTTTGGAACAGAATGGAGCTCGACAGATCATTAATAGTAGAGTATGAGGGGTGCTTCTTGTCTGCTTTCACCTTCAGGTAGTATACAAAGGACATGTAAGTTCTCTGCAGATGAAGCGACCACTCAGCTCGGCTTTGACGGACAGTTGTTGCCCGTTCAGTTGAATGTCGGGTTCCGAGTGCATGCCTCTCTTTCGAGAGAACAAGGCACACGTGCTTTTTTGTGGGTTAAGTCGAAATCCGTTTTCATCTGCCCATTTGGAGATCTTATTTAAACCCAGCTGAACCTGCCGCTCACACATGGCCAAGTTGCATGACTTGAAGCCAAGCTGAACGTCGTCGACATATGTACAATAGAAGATATTGCGGGGAATGGACAAGGGCGAAGAATTCATTTTAATAATAAAAAGTGTGCAACTAAGCACACCACCTTGTGGCACGCCTGTTTCCTGGACAAATGTTTGGGAGAGCACACTGCCCAGACGGACACGGAATGTCCGGTTTGACAGGTAACTTTCGATTATATGAAACATTCTTCCGCGCACACCAAGGTGGGACAGGTCTCTTAGAATTCCGTTACGCCATGTAGTATCATAAGCCTTTTCGATATCGAGGAACACAGAGAGAAAATATTGTTTATGGACGAACGCATCTCTGTTCTGTGCCTCGATACGAACAAGGTGGTCTGTGGTGGATCTACTTTCTCGAAACCCGCACTGAAATGGGTCGAGCAAATTATTTCTTTCAAGAAAATGTACAAGTCGGCAGTTTATCATTTTTTCGAAGACTTTGCACAAGCAGCTTGTAAGTGCTGTAGGCCTATAACTCGAGGGTAAAAAAGGGTCCTTGCCCTCTTTCAAAATGGGAATAACAATAGTCTCTTTCCAGGAGGTAGGAATAGTGCCAGAAGACCAAATAGCATTGTACAAACAAAGTAAGGTTTTTCAGGTTTCGTTTGGTAGGTTTTTTAACATTTCATACATCACACGGTCAGAACCTGGGGCAGAAGTACTGCAGGAGTTTAGAGATGTTCGGAGCTCCGCTAGACTGAAAGCTTGGTTATATGTCTCGTATCTAGTGGATTTGTGTTCGAGTTTCTGCTTTTCTAATCTTGTTCTGTATTTTTGGAAAGTGTCAGTATAGTGGGACGAGCTGGAAACCCGTTCAAAATGTGCCCCGAGGAAGTTTGCCTGATCTTCCAAGGTATCACCTTGAGTGTTTACGAGTGGAAGTGTGTGTACTTGTTTCCCTGCTATCCTACCGACCATGTTCCAGACTTTGGCCTCTTGTGTGTGAGAATTGATCCCTGACAAAAACTTCTGCCAGCTTTCTCTTCTGGCCTGCCGACGCGTTCTCCTAGCTTGAGACTTTATTTTCTTGAAGGTGTCAAGATTTTCGGCTGTCGGTGAGTTCCGAAGCAGCCTCCGAGCTCTGTTTTGCTGTTTGCGCGCGTTTCGGCATTCAGAGTTCCACCATGGCACACGCCGTTTTCCAGGGTGTCCATTTGTTTGTGGGATGCATTTTGTTGCAGCATCAATTAAAAACGCTGTGAAAAAGTTGACAGCAACATCAATGTTCAAAGTACATATGTCATTCCAACCTAGACGAGCGATAGTATAAAACTGTTCCCAGTCGGCTCTGTTTATTAGCCACTTGGGAACACGTGGTGGGCACTCGGTTACTGTAGTTGTGCTCAAAACTACGGGGAAGTGGTCACTTCCGTACAGATTGCTGACGACATTCCACTGGAGTAGAGCCACAAGAGATGGAGATGCTAGGCTTAGGTCTATGGAGGAGTAGGTGTTATTAGCGAGATTATAATAGGTTGGTTCTTTTCGATTCAGGAGACACGCGCTCGACGAGAGAAGGAACTGTTCGATCAGTCGACCTCGCGCGTCATACCGAGAATCACCCCATAGCCTGCTATGCGCATTAAAGTCTCCAAGGAGAACATAAAGCTCCGGAAGTTCATCAATTAGAGAGTGTAAATCACGTTTTTGTAGCTGATAGCTAGGATAAATGTAAATAGTGCAGATTGTGATCACTTTATCAAAAAGAACTGCTCGAACAGCCACTGCCTCAAGGGATGTTTGGAGTTGTATGTGTGTGCATGCAATTCCTCGATTCACTATGATGGCAACACCTCCGGATGATGTCATGGCATCAACACGGTCCTTTCGGAAAATAACGTGTTTACGAAGAAATGTGTTTCTTGTACACACAGCACTTTTGGTGAGTGTTCATGTAAGAGTTCTTGGATGTCGTCAAGGTTTCTGAGAAGGCCCCTGACGTTCCATTATATAATTTGAGTGTTCATGGTGAATGTAAAATAATGCTGTGTGTACGAAAAGCGAGTGGCTGTTTAGACGGGGAGTTTGAGTTCACTTAACAGGGCCGTCACCGGGCCCTGTTATTTGCTTTTTCGTTTTTTTGGCGCGCTCCA